TTACTTTTAGTTTTTCATACACCATATGTATCTATATACTTTTCCATTTTCTGTGCTGCTTGGAATCAAACCCAGGGTTCTGTTCATGCTAAGTAAGAACTCTCTCAAAGTGAGTTCCATTGAACTCTCTATAGCCTCAGACACAATAAGTCTAATTTGAGGCAGGTAAGTCTTTTAACAAAATAAAATAATTAAAGACATATGATACTACTTATCAGTTTGTATACATGTGGAATGAGGTCTGGATTAATTTGAAAGTCTGCTGTTAAAAACAAAACATTACTTTTGCATGTAAAATTTTATATTTACCATTATTACTATATATTTGGATTTATCTGGTACTTCCTTTGTTCAAGATTAACAAGGAGTCTTGCTGAATATATATATATATATGCAATTTTTTGCTTCCACTGGGAATAAAAGATAACATTGCGATGTCCCTAAAATCAGCTGCATATTGATCTTCATTTCATTTTTCAAATGCAGTATTATGGTGTGTAATTGCTTAAGCCAACATAACCCAAAAATAGACCCTGGAAGCTTACCTGGTAGATTTCTAAACTGGGTTGCACAACCCTGGCTGGGATTCGAGGACAGGGGTCAGAGGCAACCAGTGAGCTGAGGTTGTTCAAGGACTTTTCTCATCACACTAGTCATTTTCCATCATTGTCTTTGACACCCATGTAATATTTGAAGGTAACTATTTTAGATGATGAAATGGGGATAATTTAAGTAACGAGAAAATGGTCTAGATCATATACAGTTGGGAGCTTTTGCATATACGTTATTTTACTTTCTTCATTTGGGGTGGTGGGGGAGAGTGTTGGGGTGGGGGTCTGGCTTTGTAGACCAAGCTGCCTTGTGGTCGTGAATCACCATAGCTCCTCTTGCCCCTGCCCTCTCTGGGAGCTGGGCTACCGCTGCAGAGAGGCCTGCAGCAGGTCAGTGCGGGTTAACCAGCTGTCATCTGCTGTGCACAGCAGCTCAGTGCGGGTTAACCAGCAGGTTAACCAGCTGTCATCTGCTCTGCACAGTTTGCTCTTGCTAGTTCTGCTGAATGTGACGCTGTTTCTGAAGTTGTCAAAGATAGAACACGCAGCTCAGTCCTTCTACCGGCTCCACCTCCAAGGAGAGAAATCTTTAAAGTAAGTACCCCACCCCAGCCCAGGCGGTTTCCACCACCTGCTTCTTCGTCATAGAAAATTTAATTTTAGAGATTCTGGTCTGCTATATCTTGTAGTCATACATGCTTATTTTTATTTTTATTTTTTATTTTGTGCAGGGGTGGTGGTGGCAGGGTTTGATTTTGTGTTTTGTTTGCAATCCACGGGGCACAATAATTTCTGTAAATAATAAGCTGTTTTCATGATTTTTAAGATTTTTCTTTTCTTCCAGTTTAGCCTCTGATAGGTTCTCAAGAACAGAAAATATTCAAAAGAACAAGGATCAGGCCCACCGTTTAAAAGGAGTGCTCCAAGATTCCATAGTGATGTTGGAACAGGTAGGCCAGTCTGCTGTTCCCCAGGGGTGTGAATGGGCAGGTCCTCAGCTGGTCCTCTTTAGATGTACCTTCTCTGCAGTTGCTTAGTAACTCTCTCCTCCTACTTTATCATCCTCTCAGTGGTTGACCAGGCCTTAAAGAGAAGAGAAACCTTCTCCTTTTCTTCTATAGCCATACCTATAAATTATCCTATCCTTCAACCCTGAGTTCTCTGTGACTAGTGCTAGGAACATCTTGGCTCAGCAGTGTGTGCTCCATGTTTGGCACAGGGCCCAGCATGAAACAGATACACCAGGTTTGTTGAACAGATGAACAAATACAGCAAGGAAGAAGAGATATTTCTTGGTCTCACGTGGCTTCCAATCTTATCAGAGAAGTCAATTGTCCAATCGGTTTTCAAATCTGTTTTGAAAAGTACAAAATTAAGTAGGATAGAAGTGGGAAGTAGGGTAGCACTCCCGGAGTCCAGAGGCAGGGTCTTCGGGGAAGGTTATATGGGGCCGGTAGGTACAGGTAAGGGTTAGGACTGTGAAGGGGATGCTGGATGGATTAGGAAGATGTGGCTTAGCAGCGGGGCTCGAGGTGTTCCGGGGAGGGAGAGTGAAGAGACTGCTGAGCCTTGAGAAACATCTAAGAAAGCAAACCTTTCCCTTTGGATAATTAGATGGACTTCCTGGAAAGCGCAGCCTTCCAGCACCTGGTAAGCACGCTGTAGAATTCACGCAGCAGACACAGGAGAATCAGGCATTTGGTGGTCAATGTTTTACTTTTGGAGTAAAATAACCAGTAAGAATTGAAGTCTGATTGTTGCCCCTTCTGTTTGCAGCTGAAGAGTTCACTCCTTATGCTTCAGAAAACCTTTGACTTACTAAATAGGAACAAGACTGGGGTGGCTGTGGAGAGCTAGTGCTGAGATGAGCAATCAAAGAGACACCTGGATCTAAAAGACAACATCTGGAAGGAAATCAAGGATGAAAACCGTCACTGTCATAGGAGCATTTCTGATATTTTTATTGCCGGATTTCTACTAGGAGAACTTATTTAAATAACATTTACTTGGTGATTACCCTCCAATAGCCTTAAGACTCTGTCTTTTCACTTCTTATAGATATTTTTAAACTGTGAATTTCTCCAGTGAACCATGAAATATATTTTAGAATTGAAGTCCCGTGCCACAAAAGGGGAAGGGAGCCACCCTGCACATGGTGGCTTTTCTTCTCTACTGAGGCTTGTAACTTGACCCTTTAAATTTATCTGTTAGCACAGACTCCCTGTGTGCCCAGTGGGCTGTGTTCATCACTGCGTGTAAGAGCCTAAAAAGCTAAAGAAGAAACCCCTCAATCATTTCTCACTTTAGAGGGTCAGTTTCTAGGCATGTACATTCCAGGTTTGTATCTTTAAATACTACAGTCTCTTCATGGATCTGGCGTTCAAGGTCAGTGGTCAAACCCTTTGAACCTCTGTGTTGTCTGAAAGATTCATTGGCCATGTTGTATCTTACTGAAGGAACACACACACACACACACACACACACACTCACACCTTATATGTACCAAAGGTGAGATTATTCTTCATATATCAAACAGACAGGACATTAATTTAGGGGAAGGCAGTGTGTAGGATACCAATGCTCAGAATGAACTATTTTTAGTTTTAGAAGCCAGAAGATTATGATAAAATCTGGGCATTTCATGAAGGGTCAGATGAATTCATGGACTCTGCTTGGATTCAGCTTAGCAGTGCCCATGGTGGAAGTGACCCATCTGATTGAAAATAATCTATCATTTTTCATTCTTTACACATGTGTGTAGCTTGTCTTATTGGCAAATTATAAGCTAGGCTCCACAATAAAGGCTGTGAGGGTTCCTGAGCTCCACAATAAAGCCTGTAGGGTACATGCACACTGAAGTTAAGAGGCACAAGCTTGGGCTTTCAGAAAAGCCTCTTAGGCATTTATCTCAGCACAAGAGGTTTGTGAAAATGAGGACTTTGTAACCTGACTTAATCAGCTCCAACCCTCAGGATTTAGGAAAAGTTCAGGACATATTTCTTGTTTTGTTCTCTAGAGAGCTTTCTTTGGAATACGCACATCATGCACACATACATACTACATGGTTTTGTTTGTTTGTTTGTTTGTTTGTTTGTTAGAGTTTTGAGACGGGGTGTCTCTGTGTGGTTCTGGCTTTCCTGGAACTTGCCTTGTAGACCAGGCTGGTCTTGCACTCACAGAGATCTGCCTGCCTCTGCCTCCTGAGTGCTGCTGGGATTAAAGGTGAGCGCCACCACCCTGGGCATATATTCTTCTCGATTGAACAACCATTACCTTTAGTGGAATGTTTCCCCAGTATCACCAGAGCCAAATGGCATGGCTAACAACATTTCTGAGATGTCTGCAGGGAAAGAAAATACTGACTAGAGGGAAGTGGGTTTCTCTGGACCAATCCCAACTAATCTACCTGCAAGGGGGTGCCGAGTAATAACGCCCGTTTGTTTTTGTTTTTGTTAAGGACATATGAAGTATCTAGCTGTGAGCACGAGTGACTGGATTAGAAACTTGAAATTTTTAAATTTAGAAAAAGGTTAACTGTCAAAGTGAATGTTTTTGTGGTTTCTCTCAAACTACTTTATAATATACCTCACAGATTACCAACGTTGCTTTGTAGATAAAAGATGAAATGTGTATGCAGAATTAATAAAATCTGAATCTGTTATGTAGTCTGACTTCAATAAAATCCCAAATATCTAAGTTGTCATTTTTCTTCTGTTTCTGCTTAAAAGCCAAACCACACCTAGAAAGCCTGGGGTAGTGAAAACCTGTATCTAGGCCCACAGTTCTCACAGATTTGTGCCGCTATAAAACCTGGAGAGGTCTCTCTGGGCAATTTCATTGCAAATGCGCAGACTTCTGAAGCACAAGTGCCAGAGAGGCCTGGCTGGCTGGAAGGCAGACCCAACCTCCAGGACTCAAGAGCAGGAACAAGTTGGGTAAGCCAGGACCTGGGAGCAGCAGCAGCTGGCCTAAAGGGAAGGTGGGCGACTCGTGGGGTGGCACCCCAGCACATGGCGGTGCAGATCGAACCCAACGCCTGTAGCGGGCGCAGGGGGGGGGGGGACGGTTGATGGCTAGCGAACGGCGAACGCATGCAGCGCACGAACCCCTGGGTCTGGTCCCTTCCCCTGCCAGCACCCCCCGGGGGGGGGGGT